CTTATGCTTTAAAAGTGTTTGACCGTTTTCCCCACCCTCTTCTTCTGCCACCATGTAAGATGTGCCTTGCTTCCCATTTGCCTTCTGCCATGATTTTAGGTTCCTGAGACCTCCCCAGCCATGCAGAACTGTGAGTCAGTTAAACCTCTTTTGTTTACAAATTACCCACTTCGGACAGGAATTAGCTCATACATATTTGTGTTTACCATGATTGGTAGAAGACTCTGGCATGTTATAAAGACTCCATCAAAATCTTTTTTTGAATAGATAAATCAGTACCAAAGAACACACTGAATTCATCTTCTCTTTGACACAGCAAAGATACAGAGCTTTCCTCCTTGCCCTTTCTCTCATTTGTTCTTACCTCTTCAAAACAATGGAATGGCATTGTGGTGGCTGCTTCTGCAGTTCAGTGAGCTGAGTGGCCCTTTTTCTTCTTGCCCATCTCTGACCATGGACTTGAACTGTTTCACAAAATACTAATAGGTACTGTTGGGAGCAGTTTTCAACCCCTTTCTCAAATGTGGGTGCACAAAGACCTCAAGGTCACTTATTCTTGCTTATTGATGTAGTAATACATATAAACTTTTATTAACACTTTACTTTCTTTTATATGCCTTTTTTATCTTTTAAAAATACTCTGGCTTTCTTAAAAATAGAAAAAAAATTTAAAAACAGAAGTCTGTTAAGGAAAAAAGAGACATTAAAAAAAAGTGGCTCACGCCTGTAATCCCAGCACTTTGGGAGGCTGAGGCAGGCAGATCACAAGGTCAGGATGTGGAGATCATCCTGGATAACACGGTGAAACCCCATCTCTACTAAAAATACAAAAACTTAGCTGGGCGTGGTGGCAGGCACCTATAGTCCCAGCTACTTGGGAGGCTGAGGCAGGAGAATGGCGTGAACCCGGAAAGGGGAGCTTGCAGTGAGCCGAGATCGCACCACTGTGCTCCAGCCTGGGCGAAAGAGCCAGACTATGTCTCAAAAAAAAAAAAAAGTAACAGCCATTTGTAGTTTAGCTAAATTCCTTGTGTTTGTCATTTAAAAAGTAGTATCCAATTTTATTGAATCTCTAAAACTATATATAGGCACATACAACTATGAACATCTCTTTCGCGTGACTGAAAATCTAAGTGATATGGCTTGGCTCTGTGTACCCACCTACATTTCATCTTGAATTGTAATCCCCACATGTAAACGGAGGGACCTGGTGGGAGGTGTTGGATAATGGGGGCAGTTTTCCCCATGTTGTCCTTGTGCTAGTGAGTTCTCCCAATATCTTATGCTTTAAAAGTGTTTGACCGTTTTCCCCACCCTCTTCTTCTGCCACCATGTAAGATGTGCCTTGCTTCCCATTTGCCTTCTGCCATGATTGTAAGTTTCCTGAGACCTCCCCAGCCATGCAGAACTGTGAGTCAGTTAAACCTCTTTTGTTTACAAATTACCCAGTCTCAGGGAATTCTTTATAAAGCAGTGTGAAAGCCGACTAATACACTATGTATTATCACTAGTTTTATCCCCAACATGAACTCTGACTCTTCAAGTAAGATGAAGTGAGTATGGAGTAGTTATTAACTGAATTCAATAATTCAGCACTTTTATCTGGCAAGATAGTTCTCTGAGCATCTGTTTTATCATCTGTAAAAATGAACTAGATAATCTCTAGGATAAATCTTTCTTAATCTGGATAATACTCCTGAAAGAGGGTCTCTGAATTGAGGACCCTTGATTCCCCTATTCACCTTGTTTATGTAAACAGTACCATATTTAGCCTTGCACTATCAATTTGAAGTTACAAAGGGAAAAATAATGAACAGTATTGAATTTGGCTTATTTGAGCACTTCTTTTCAGACAATTGCTCTTCCTCTTTTGACCACAGAGGGGAGTATTGGTATTACTTAAAGGTACATAATGTTCCCTCACAAAAGAGACAGACTAAGTTTAGTCAAAGTATTGCCTGATTCATTTCAGGACCAATTTTCCTAGATGAAATCTCTTTCATAATAAATGTACTTAGAAAAAAATGAAAGTGAAACCCAAACTTCTTTGGATGATTTTATACAGGGTTTCTTTATTACGTAACCTAAGAATAGAAGCAAAACTATCTACTTGAGGAGGAAGTTAATTTTTAAGATGTAAAACAGTATGATTTTATCTTGTAATACCATAATGAGGAAAGATATGAAATAAGTTTGAGTGGCCAAGAGAGAAAATGTGCAAATATACTATAGAGCATTCAAGCGTGAAAGGACTCTTAAATTTTTTTTTCTTTTATTTACTAATTCAGAGCCAAAAAAGGATTCTGTTTTTGACATTGAGTACTCTCATACTTTAGTTTATGGAATGGTTTCCTGCTATGTTTTCCTGGGCTTATTTAAAACTACTATGTTTCACTTGCAGAATATAAAATGTGCTAATTCACTTGTATTCTAAGGAAATTAAATTTTAAGAAATGTTTTCATTTTGGATTAATATTCTTAAATGTCATAACTAGTTGCTTCTGAAATTTTATAATATTTTATGTTACCCATTAGTAAAATAACAACTTCTCTCATTTTTTAGTGAAGATAGATGTTTGATCTATTTAAATTATATAGTTAAATTATAGTGACAGAATAAAAATTTAAATCTAAATCTGGCTTTTTGGAGATAGATTACATATCTCTTATTCATAATATCTAGTTGTTTTCAAAATATGCTTTCTACTAATGTGCTCTTAAGGTTAATTTAAACATCGTCCTTTTTAAAAAAAATGTGTATGGCTAACACTAACTATGCTTTTGTTCACCTTCAAATAAGTTTATATTTTTGACATATGTTTTTCTTTTTAAGGTTGCATTTTGGACACTTGCATACATCCTTTCTCATCCTGATATCCACAAGGCCGTTATGGAAGGCATCTCTTCTGTGTTTGGCAAAGCAGGTACTAAACCTGAATTAAATTATATAGAAAGACACAGCTAATAATGCATGTTTGTCACACATTATTTAGCAAAGCTAAATACTTATAATTTTATAAAAATTCAACATAATACAAAATTCAACATAATTTGTTATATATCAGGATATAAATTGATTAGGTAGAATCCTAGAATTTAATTACTTCAAGCATTTTTGTGCAACTCCTTCATTTTCCAGATGATGAAATCAGTGCTATAGAGATTGTGATTTGCCTAATTTCCTTACTTAAATACATATACATCTGTTTGTTCTTCTAATCTCTTGGCTCCTCACCTCAATTGAATGAATGTCCGCAGTTTTCAAGTTCGGGATTTTTCAGATTTTATGAAAGTAATACGGGTATATTCCATATATTACATAAGAGCCCTAATGGGAGTGTAGAGGTCAGGTAAGGCTTGCTACCAAAGGATTATTAAAAGACAACAAACAAAAAACAAGTAAACAAAAAAACAAAAAACCCCTTACAGTTGTTAGAAATTTGAGGATTTAGGAACTGCAGATAGGGATTGTTGCCTTGAACTCTTTAGTTCAGATGTCAGTTTTAAAAAGCAAAAGTAAGCTTGAACAGAGAGTACTCCACTACTTGTTTATTCAGCATAATTTGACCTATCTGGGGAGCTGATTTTTTTAAACTTCTTAATATGTCATGTTATGTATCCTGATACAAAAAGAAAGAAATGATAGCGTTTGCTTGGAAGAAAACAATATAATATTAGGGCAAAAGGTATGAGGCCAGTTAGTGGTTTTCCCTCTCCCTTCCATGATTACTGAAAATATTGTATTTAAAGGGTTTTTTTTTTTTTGATTTCTTGTTATTGAGTTAAACCAAAAAGCAAACTGGCTTGGCAAGCATGAATATCTAAGTAATATTGTCTGAGCCTTGAGTATGCATCTGCAGATTCTAGACCTTATAGAAATGGTGAGCATTAGTATCATTGAATGCCAACAATACTAGCAGGTTAGATTCTGGAAAGACACTCATGAATATAAGAGAAGACAACTGGCTTTTATGCAGCTTGCATCTACAAAGCAAATAGGCACATGCCTACATGTCTACAACTGGAAAAAGGCAATGCACTCTTGATTGTCACATATTCTCCTTTATCATTTCCTTACTAGAGTCTTTTCCTGACTTAGGGTCCTCCAAATTTGTGGTCTTTAGGAAATAAAAGGGTAGAGAGGGGATGATGGGGATAATGTGGGGGTCCTCACTGACCCAAAGGCCACAACAGAAGTGTAACATTAATCTAAATTTCTACAAGGCTTGATTCTGGAACTCTTGAATCCAGTTCTAGTGGAGAAAGATAAAACCTTTTTTCTTTTTCTATGTTCCTGATTATTTTAAAAACCCATTGTTCTCTTTTGACACAAAAAATGCTCCTTTGAATAGTACTGCCAGTGTAACAGCTACATTATAGCAATGCTTTCAGTCTATAAGACACTACTGCAGACTTGAAAACTATTTATAAAATACATCAAACTTTTTTTTTTAGCCATACTAATACAGAAGCTATTCAATCAATCTATACATAAGATCTAGTAGCAGCTCAGGAATTTAAATGTTGTGAGAGGAGTCTACAGATTTTTGGAGGCTGATATCAAGGAAGATACCCATGTGTTCATACAAAGGATTCTGTCAAGGAAGGAACATTAAAGTACATTGTATTAGTCAGGATTCTCCAGAGAAATGGAACCAATAGGTTATAAATAGATACATAGATAGAGAATGCTCAAAAGACATTTATTATAAAAAATTGGTTGAGCTGACTATGGAGGCTGAGAAGTCCCATGTTGTGCTGTTGATGCAGGTGCTCAGTGGATTGGATGATGCACACTTACATTAGGCAGGGCAGCCTACTTTACTGAGCCCACGAATTCAAATACTCATCTGTCATCCAGAAACACCCTCACAGGCACACCCAGAATAATGGTTAATCTGTATACCCCATGGCCAGTCAAGCTGACATATAGAATTAACCATCATCTCATCTGTTGAGTTTTGTTTCTCTGGAGAACCCTGAGTAAATTTACCCACCCATGTATGGGAGGGCAGTCTGCCCTACTCAGTCTACTGATTGAAATGCTAATATCAACTAGTAATACCCTCACAGACACACCCAGAAATAATGTTTAGCCAAATATCTGGGCACCCCCTGATCCAGTCAAGTTACACTTACAATTAATCATCACAGGCATGGAACAAGAATCTGACTCAGTACAGCAGTTTTTCCATTCTATGCTCTTGTCTACTGCAAGATCACCATTTCCTTCTTGGGGATGTCTTTTGTGAATTTCCAGTGTTGTATCTCTGTGGCCTCAATACTCGCTTCTAGGAACTTTGCCCAATTTTGTAATAAAACACATCTCAGGGTAAAAACTACTATTGAATACTTGGGAAAGGAAAGGGTCAGACTCATACCACTTTTCTAAAGGCAGTTGGTTCTTGAACGACCTTGATAGCTGCCTTTCAGCCTACTCTTGTGTTCTCTATTTGTTTACTTTAAAATGAAAACTTCTTTAGGGCTCCTTTGTAAAGATGCTTGCTTAGCCCCAATTATTTTGGGTGGTGCTTTTCATGATTCTACTTCCTCTAACTAATGTTGTACACCTTCTATCTAAGTCTGTATTATCTGCCTAAGTCTTTATTATCTTCCTAAGTCTTCGTTATCTGCGTCTTGTTTTTCTTGTTTTCCAGCTGTGTTTTTATATTCCAATCGCACACTTTTAATTCAATTATTTTTAGAGACAGGGTCTCACTTTGTCACCTGGAGTGCAGTGGAATGATCATAGCTCACTACAGCCTCGAGCTCCTGGGCTCAAGTGATCCTCCTGCCACAGCCTCCTGTGTAGCTAGGACCACAGGTGTGTGCCAGCATATCTGGCTTCATTTTTTTTTTAATGGGACATTGGGACAAAGGAAGGTAGAAGTGTGTTCTCAGATTGTCATCTTGAGCTATAAGTTTGTGTGCATGTAATATGCATCAACTTATAAATAAAATTACATATATATAATTATATATAATTAACCCTTTCAAAGTGTAAAAGTTAGTATCTTTTAGTATATTTATAAGATGCCAACCATCAACACTATCTAGTCCCAGAACATTTTTATCACCTTCAAAAGAAACCCCATACCCATTAGGAGTCACTTTCGATTTCCTATTTCTAGCTTCTGATGACCACTAATTTACTTATTGTCCTGACACATTTGCCTTTTGTGGACAGTTCATATAAATGGAAACATACGATATGTGGTCCTTTGTGTCTGGCTTCTTTCACCTAGTGTACTGTTTTATATTATAATGTTTTACATTAACTGATTTTCAGATCTTGAAGCATCCATGCATTTCTGGAATAAATCCTGCTTATCTTGAGGTATAATTTTCTTTATATGTTGCTGGATTCAGTTTGCTAGTATTTTCTGTGAAGAATTTTGAAGATTTTTTTGAATAATCTATGTTAATAAGGAATATTGACATAATTTTCTCAAAATAACTTTGGTTTTGGCATCAAGATAATTCTAGCTTTAGAGAGTGAATTTGGAAGTATTTCTTCCTCTTCTAATTTTTGGAAGAGTTTATGAAAGATTGATGTAATTTCTTCTTTAAATATACGGTAGAATTCACCAATGAAGTGATCTGGTCCTAAGATTTTCTTTTTGAGAAATTTTTTGATTAATTCAGTCTTTCTACTTGTTACTGGCCTATTTAGACTATCTATTTCTTCTTGAGTCAGTTTTATAGTTTATGTCTTTTTAGGAATATGTCCATTTCATCCAGATTATCTAATTTGTTGGTGTAAAATTTTTCATAGTGTTCCCCACAATCCATTTTATTTATTTATTTCTGTAAGGGCACTAGTAAACCAAGTATTTCATTCCTAATTTTAATTTGGGTCCTGTTTTACTTTCTTGGTCATTGTGGCTACATATTTGTCAATTTTGTTTGCAAAGAACTAACTTTTTAATTCTGTTTATTTTAACTTGATTTTATTTTTCCTAGTGATTTTTGTATTTAATTTTGTTCGAATCTTTACGATTTCTCTATCGATATTCTCTATTTAGTTCTTTAGAAATGATTTCTTTAGTTCTTTGAACATCATGAAAATACCTGATTTAAAGTCTTTATTAAGTCCAGCAACTGAGTTTCTTCAGGGACCCTTTCTGTTGATTCCTTTTTTGCCCTGTGAATAATCTATTCAGATAGTCTTCTACTTATAGTGGTTCAACTCTTAATTTTTTGACTTCATGATTGTGTGAAAGGGATACACATTCAACACTGTATTTTCTTTTTCATATCTTATTTCAAGTTTCTTATTGTATGCCTTGTAATTCTTTGTTGAAAACTGGACATTTTACATAATAGAATGTAACAACTTTGGAAATTAGCTTCTTCCCTTTCCTCAGAGTTTGTTGTTGTTGCTGTTTATCGTTTTTATTTGTCTGATTGTTTAGTGACTTTTCTTAACTAATTCTGTAATGTTTGCATTCTTTGTCACATATGGCCACAGAAGTCTCTGCTTCATTGTTTAGTGATCAGGTATCAACTAGATAGATATTTCTTTACATCAGTAATTTAGAAGTCTCCCATTCTTTGCTAAGGGACTACGTGTGCATGTTGGGGCATGCCTTCAACACTCAGCCAAGCAGTTGACAACTCTGCCTTAGCTTTCACTTTCTACCTGTGCAGAGCCTCAAGGATGGGTGTACGTGAGAGTGTGTGGCCTTCTCATGTCTTTCCTGAGCATAAGTATAGCCCTGGGCAAATGGATGCCCTTCTAGATTCCTGGGAATGCATTGGACCTCTGCAAAGCCACTGTGAACAACTCATTCCCTAGCCTTGCATTTTCATCCTGTTGGTTTGCCTATTGTTTGTCCAACAGTGTTCTACTGACTCAGACAGTTGCAAAGTTAAACAGTTGTCTTTAAAGATTTTAAACCAACAACCCTGGAGGAAAGGCTTT